AGAATCGTCATCTTCTTGATGTTGTTCGTACTCTCTTGTTAGAGTCGTCTACATCTTCTTTTCTTTGTATGAAGCTCTCTCAACTGATGTCCACCTCATCAACAGATTGTTTTCCCTTATATTGAACCACGACACTCTATTTATCAAGTTATTTGGTCATCCTCCAACTCATTCCAACTTCTGTAACTTTGGTTGTGTCTGTTATGTTCATCTTCCTGCACATGAACACACAAAACTCACGACTCAATCAATTCAATGTGCTTTCCTAGTATATTCAGTACACCAGAAAGGTTTTCTTTGTTATGATCTAAATCTGTATTGCATTTGAAATTCTATAAATATGATCTTTCTAGCAAAACTAATATTTCTTTTCCATATATCTGGATCATATTCCTCCTTTATTTTCTATTTTGCCTATATTTACTAACTCTTTTATAGCTCCAGTCCCTTCTAAGCCTCTCCTAGTATATCAAAAACGTTCATCTGCTACTTCCCACCAGCCTTTAGGCCCTCCCAATCCCCCTCAAGTTCCTTCCCAGATCGTTACTCCTATTCCAGCAATTGCAACTCCCTCTCATCAACAAAGTACTCGGGTTCGTAAACCCCTTGATTAGTATGGTTACTCTCTTCCTTCATCTTTCACAACCACCTTGTTTTCTACTTTTCTTCATCCATCTTATAAACAGGAAATAGAGCATGAGTGTTGACGAAAAGCTATTGAAACTGAACTTTTTGCACTTGAAAAAAACCAAACCTGGGATGTTGTTCCATGCTCCTCATCCATGAATCCCCTTAGTGGTAAATTTATGTTTTTTATCAAGCGTTGTTCTGATGGGTCCATCAGCCATTACAAGGCTCGATTAGTGGCACTTGGTAATAAACATGAATATGGTCTTGACTATGATGAGACCTTCGTACCGGTCACTAAAATGACCACTGTCCGAATAATACTAACCCTTACTGCATCTCAATCATAGCCTTTACATCAAATGGATGTCAAGAACGCCTTCCTTCATGGTGATCTTAAGAAAAATATTTACCTGAAACTTCCTTCTAGTATGTCCATTTCCTTATCTAGTGATGTTTGCAAACTAAAATATTTTTTATATGGTTTGAAATAAGCACCAAGAGTATGGTTTGATAAGTTTTGATCCACGTTGCTGGGTTTCTCCTTCACTCAAAGTCAATATGACTCCTTTCTCTTTCTAAAAAAACATTCATGGGTCTTGTTGTCCTCCTTGTTTATATGGACGATATTGTCATCACTAACTCTAACTTGGAGGCAATCTTTGCAATTCAGACTTTGTTGCATTCTACATTCTATATGAAAGACCTTGGCCAATTCACCTATTTTTTGGGCTTGAAAGTGCATCATCAATCTCATGGTCTCTTCCTATATCAACACATGTATAGTCAGGAACCAACACTACTTTGGTTGACACTCCCATGGAACTTAACAAATATCGTCATGACAAAAAGGAGCTTATTGATGATCCTACTACCTATTAGAAGCTAGTTGGTAGCCTTATCTATCTAGTAATTACTTAACCAGACATTTCTTATGTTGTTCACATTATCAGCAAATTCATGCAAGCAGCAAGGCATCTTCGTCTATTTGTTATTCGCTGCATAATTCGCTACATTCTTGGTACTCCTAGTCGTGGCTTATTCTTCCCCACATGTTCTTCATTTCAACTACAAGCCTATAATGATGTTGATTGGGCCGGTTGCTCAGACATTAAGGAATCTACTACCAGCTGATGTATATTTCTTGGTGATGCCATTATCTCATAGAAATGCAAGAAACAATATCACGTCTCCAAATCAACTATTAAAGCAGAGTACTGAGCCATGTCTGCTGCTTGCTTTTAGATCATTTGGTTGCGTGGTCTCATCACATAACTCGTTTTCTGTACATATCATTGTACTCCACTTCATGCTGATAACACTAGTGTTATCCAAATTGTAACCAACCCTGTCTATCACAAATGCACCAAGAACATTGAGGTTGATTGTCACTTAATCAAAGAAGTATATGATCATCAAATTATCACCCTTCCACATATCTCCACCACTCTGCAAATCACTAATATCTTCACCAAATCCATGCCCTGTCAGCGTTATCATTTTCTCGCTGGTAAATTGATGTTTGTTGATTTTCCAGCATCAATTTGAGAGGGGATGTCAAAGAAAATACCTACACCTACATAATTAATGCTAGCAGATTTTTGGCCTATTTATTCTTTCCTTTATTAGGATATACTAGCTATAAGTTAACTGTTTCTAAAGGCTGAAGATCAGCCTATATTATTTTTTATATCAGCCTGTATTATTTCTTGTCGTATATTTTCTTTTCTTAGCTTGAAATTTCTACCTATATAATGGATAATTTTCAATAAAAAAAAACATATAATTTTATTTAAAGAACTTTAAACTGTCACGCATGTCATGGACATGCCTTAAAATATTTCTTAAATTGTATGCCCTTATCCCATAACACATTCATGAGCCTCGTCCTATTCAACATATTATCAAGGACATGAAATAAATGATAAAATAAGCTTATGCCTTTCAGTCCAACATATATTGTGCTAGTGACCACTTGGATGTCCATCCTTTTGTAGGGGTATACATATAAGGATTGGACCAAGATAGTTTAAGGTGCCCTGCAAAAATATTTGACCAATTGCCATGATAATTCATTCGAATAGCAGAGATCTTACTATTCTCATTGTTTCAATGATTACTAGATGGCAGGCATGGTAAGAATAACAACATTTATAAAAGCATTATTCCATGTTGCGACGAGGTAACAATATATTACCAAAATCCAGTATGCTGCAACCCCAACACATGAAACAAAAAGGATTTTGATGATAATGAAAATAGATCTATAGCCAAATAAAACTGAAGTTTCCAATTTAATCATTTACATAAGAATTCTGCTGCAAGAAAATTTACTAATAAGGACATACAAAGCCATTGCGTTAGGTCATGTATACACTCAACATATGTTTTTAAAAATGTATGCCTAGTTATCAAACAGAAGAAATGCGTGAGAGAAAAATAAGTAGTGCTTGTATTTCATGTATTTATAAAAAATTAATGCTTTATCCTGTATCTAATTTATGAAATGTTAGAAGGTGATATAAAACAAAAGGACGTGTTCCACATGCCATGGATACACATGAATATGCATTGCAATTCTTTTATTTCATAATGCTGAGCTAAGAATATTAGTGAGTAAAATAGATTGATAATATTCAAATTAGAACCAAGGCTTGACAATTGCTGTGATAAAAATTATGTTAGTTAACCTTAACAAAATAACTGGACAGCTAAAATCCACCATAGAAGTCACACTTAAGCTATTCATTGACATTTCTACAAAATACAAATGAAACATAGAGGCATTCACCTCAAAAACCAAGAGTCCTACCTAAATTCTAAATCCTTTACTTTTTTTTTTCAAAAAATTCCCTATTTATTAAATTGTAACTAACATCTAAAACATCAGATTAAATAAAAAATATTTTATATATGATTCTTTTAAATTATTATTATCTAATACAGTGAAATTTCCTAGTCCCTTCACAAAGAAAGGCTTAAAACGTAAAAAAAAAAAAAGAGACAAAAACCATATTCTTTTCCTCTTAACCATTCTTGTTGCCTTTAGCAACTCAGATACCTAAAGTGAACTTTCTCCAATTAATTGATCAAACCAATTTGACGTAGCAAGCATGGGAAAACATATAAAACAATGAGAAGGTGGATGTTGTATATTAGAAAAGCAGGAGCCTAATATGTGTCTATTAAAACTTTTATACGCGTGATTTGGATTATAAAATTAAAATTATTATATTAAAAAAAATTATAAAACTTAATTTTTAATAAATAAAATACTAAAAAATGAGAAAAAATAAAAATAAAATCAATTTTAAAAAAACATAAATTAAAAAAACAATGATCAAATTTGACATTAAATTAAAATAAAATAAATTAAAATGACCAGGAATGAAATTAAAAAATAAAATAAATTTAAAAAATAATATAAAAAATTAAATGGAAATCAAAAGAACAAGCTTAATATTTGATATAAAAATAAAATAAAATAAAATAAAAAAATGTAGTTAAAATAAAATTAAAATTTAAAACAAATAAAAAGCAATCAATAAAATAGAGATTATAATTGAAATAAAAACAAATAAAAGAACAACCTTTTATTTTAGCTGATCTGCACAAACCCCAAGACATGAAAAAAATAAAAAAGGAGGGGGAAATATTTCACCACCACTTATAATAATACTATATGCATCATCTTATTGGTTGTGCTGCTGATGACGTTGAGCATGCATAATAGTTGAATATTTTTGGCCATTGTAGGAGGTTAAACGTGTTATCTATTTTTTTATTGAAATAATATTTTATATTTGTTAAAAAATATGAAGTTTTTCAAAAATCAACATGATTATAATAAAAAAAAACCTTAATGAAAATATAAAAAAATCTTTTGACATTAACTTTATAATTTTATAATTTTAAAGGTAACAAGATTATCTCACCATGCTTAGAATAGTACAAAGAACTTAAACGCTTTTAAAAGCAATTTTATATTTTTCAAATATAAATAAATAATTTTATTATAAAAATATTAAAATTAATTTATTATTAATTAATTTGATAATAATATATCAACTATCATGAAAAAACTGTATTATCCCAAAAGAAGTTAATGGATGTTGTTTGGAAAAAACTATTTTACTTTGCATATTTATATTGGAATATGAGTATATCTAGAGTGAAGTATTAATTTTTTTAATATATATATATATAATTATAATTATAATGATGGAAATAATAAAATATAAAAAATCTAAATAATAAAAACAATTTTAAATTGAATCTTTGTATTTTTAAAATAAAAAACTTAGAAAAGCATGTCTTCCTTTTCTCCATCTCTTCTACTTTTATATTACGATGTATTAACCAAAGACTAGCGAACAGCGATCCTCGTCCAGCCAAAAAGAAAACTAGAGAGCGTGTCTTGTTAATATTCTTTTATCCCTAAACGCTGCAGTTTCGTGTTCCTTCATTTCATTTCACTCCTCCCGCTCAGTTCCATTCCCTTCTCCACCCTCCACCAGCACAAACAACCATGGAAGAAGAATTGCCGCCGCCGCAGTCAGATCTCCCAAGTCCAAGCCCAGCCAGCTCCATTGACGCCACGCTCCAAAAAAAGCACCAAGCAATGCTAGACCGTCTCTCCAATCGTCACCAATCCCGCCAAAAAACCGCTACCACCTCCACCACTATTGATTCCACGGCCTCCTTCCTCTCCACATTCACAGAATCCAAACGCTCAATCGAATCTCAACTCAAAAACTCGCCTAACACAACAGATCCTACTCTCCTAAAATCTCACCTCGCTAATATCTCCTCTTCCATCTCCTCCCTCGAAAAACTCGTAGCCGAAAGCTCCTACTTTCTCCCTTCTTACGAACTCCGCTCCTCTCTTAAATGCATCGAGAATTTAAAACAATCTCTAGAGAATTTGAATTCTCAACTTCTCCCCAAGAAGAAATTCTCCTTCAAAAACAAATCCACTAGTAAACCAAATCCCGGTAATTCAAATACAAATCCAATCCCACCAAATCCATCTCACATACCTCAATCAATTCGCGATTCACCTGGAATTCGAAACAAAGAAAACCAAACTTTAAGCAAAAATTTCAAGAATTTTAAAGAGATTGGGGAGTTTACGCTATCGGATTTGGATTCATGTGAAGTGAGATTGATCGGCTGCATTAACGCATTATTTGTTAACAGATTGAGGAATTGTAGGGTTTATACGGGACCTGTGATTGGTTCAATTTTGTTAGAGGAAGTCGAGAACTGCGTGTTCGTGTTAGCATCGCATCAGATAAGGATACATTATGCGAAAAGTTGTGATTTTTATTTGAGAGTGAGGAGTAGACCGATAATTGAAGATTGTGGAGGTGTGAGGTTTGCGCCGTATTGTTTGAGGTATGTGGGCATTGAGGACGATTTGAGGAAAGCAGGGTTGGAAGAGGAGAAAGAAAATTGGGGAAATGTGGATGATTTCAAGTGGTTGAGAGCAGTGAAATCACCGAATTGGTCAGTTTTGGAGGAAAGCGAAAGGATTGGCTGTGTGGAGATTGAGGATTCGGGAAGCACTGAAGCTGAAATGGAGATTGAGGGGGTTTAGGGAGCGGAATTTCAATAGTTTGTTATGCTAGTTCCGACTTCAGGTAATATGATTTTTTGGGATTTTGCTACGTATTCTTTGTGGGTTGATTTTATTTCAGATGCCAAGTGTTATGGAATTTTGAATGAAAAGTGGGAAATGATGTTATGCTGCTATTTGATTATTGTTGTCCCAATGATTTTAGATTTTGTTATTTGTTATCATGGATTATTTATGTGTTTTAGTTACTCTTGTTATTGGATTTTGAATCAAGAGTGCAAATGGTAGTGTTGGTATTTGCTTGTTTTTGTTGTTATGCAGTGGATTCTTGGGTTTGGAGCATTTACTTAATGAAGCTGTAAATGTTTGCTTGTACGTATTGATTGTTGCTTCTCATTTTTTTCTGTTATTATTTGCTTCATGAATTAGGGTATATGTTAATTGTGATGCTGTGAATAAGGTTTAGTGAAAAATGTAGGCAGGGTAGTGCATCATGGAACATCTCTCTCCTGAATGCTTAATAATGGTTAGAAACTCCGGTCTGTCCAATTTACCATTGATACTCGTAAAGATTCACCTAACAGATGCTCATTTTTACCTTGGAGTCTATGTGGATTAGTGAGAGGGACATAGACCTGAATAAATTTGGAGTAAAAACTTGTACAACAGCATCCATAATAATTATAAGTTTTTTGAGAAGTTATTCTACAAAACAGGCATGCCACAAATGCTTTAAAAAGAAGTTCATGGGTATCTATATATATTTAAAAATTTGCCAAACTGCTTCTAATATTGCCTTAGTGCTTTGGTGCTGAAACACACCAGCAAAGAAATGAAAGACATCATGTCAGGACTGGCAGCAAAAACTTTAGATATATTGTTCTTGGAATCTTTTCCCATTAGAAAGATCTTGGTGTGCCACATCTTAAGGCTATCAGAATTAAACTTCCAAGGGGTGAAATTAAAAACGCTATTTGGTTTTAGAACTATTTTCTTAATCCTTATTGATTGTTATGAAATTTGATGTTAGTCCCTTTTTTATTTTGTAAATCCATTATGGCATCTTGTTAAATTGATCACACCTGAACATAGTCGTAGGTACTAGTTTTCTGGTAGGCTTATAGTTTTTGATGAATATCATTTTGGTTTCTTCCATCATGAACTCAGCATCTCTTCTAATAACATCCTGCCATTTTTTTGCAATCCCCAAACCTACTTAAGGAGCTTTGCATTAACTGCATCCTGAGACAATGGAAAGCAGATTTGAGTCTTATTATATGATTGGTAACATGAGTAGCTATTATTGGACTTGTGATAAAGTGAATTTGTGGTTTGGTTTGCCCAATGCCATGTCTAATGGCTTCTGTCAATCTAGTGGCTTAATAGATTGCCGTTCCTCCTATAGTGTTAAATGGTCCTCAACCTGTTGCTGCATTGCTGAAAATTTTCTGCCAGTTAAATGGAAGAGCTTGGCTTTGTGTTGCAAGTTTTATTTCCCTTCTGGCTGCAATGATTGTTCCCACTTCTACTTATTACAGTCTCTATTGCCACGTGGGGAATCTGTTTGATGGTACCCTGTACTTCCATATTGCTGTTTCTTGTGTACTTTCTATTCTAGTTACTTCTGTATTCTACAAGTGGTTTTCTTCTGATACTGCTGCAATTATATATATGAATTTATCTGCTGCCTGTTCAGTTAGTTCTGCTCTATGACAACAGTTGTTTAATACAATTGCAGGCGGAGGGGTCATCTATTGAATATTATTGCTCTGTGACATGTTTTCTGGATTGTGGTCAAGTTTGCTGTTTAACATGATCAGTTTCAAGGATCAGGTTGTTCTCTGGACGTTTAAATCCTTGAAATACCTGCTGAATGCGAGTTGCTGTCATGGCCTACTGGCTGTCCTCATAGTTTTCTGGTTGGATGCTGATATTTTGCTGGGTGAGTATCTGGTCTGACAAGTTATTATGGGATATATGCCTACTACAGCATTATTGAAGCTAAAAAATTTAGTTTGTAAGCTAGTTCTCTATTGCTGTTGACTTGGATGTGTTCTGTGGATCGTTTCTGTTCTTCTATTGATGCTACATCTTTTGCTGGCACCTTAATAATGCTTCCAAAACTCATTCCAATGATTGCTTTTAGTCCAATGATGATTCAAGTGTTGCTGTTTCTGCAGATGGGATTTACTTGCATGTACAGTGCTGTTGGGTGGGTCAGCTTATACTTTTGTTGTTCTGTTGTTTTAGTATGAGTCTTTGGTAGCAGTTCTGTTTCTTTTTGCAAATTTTTTGTTAAACAAGGCTATGACATGGGATTTTCAGGGATGCTATGCTTGTGGTGGTTCATTTAGTTTTGTTCTTTTGTTAATGAAATCCCACCTTTTGCTGTCTAAGAAAATCATAGACCAATCATCTCTTTTTTTATAGGTATATTGATTTAGAAGTGTGAACCATCATCAATCATTCTTTTTGAGATTTATTTTAAAAACATCATGGCTGTTCTTGAGCTCAGGCACCCTTCTGCTTATTTTTTCCATCATGGACTGGTGGCTGTTGACTGTGGTTAAGAAGCAGAAGCAGGTTGAATAATCATTACCTATATATTTTACAAGGACTATTTGGGGCCCCTTTGACAACTATACCTTTTTTGACCTTTTGCTTTGACTTAATTGCTGGCATTTGGCCTTATTGATGGGATCTTGCCAGTTTTACCATAACCATTCCAATTCCAATTTTTATTGTTACCTGAAGCCAAGTGCTTTCCAGAGTCCGCGTAATGAATAGCTGATACGAATTTATTCTCAATACCCAATCAAAGATTCTTTTGAATCTTGAAATTGTTGTCTGATGAAAGTTGTTCGGTAAGGGTCTTGTCAAATGTTCTGTGATTTCCCTCCTGGCGTTGTCAAAATGTGATTGGCATTTGGCAGCAGAAACCTACCTGCTCTGCAATTCCCACCATGCAGAAGTCTTCTATTTACTTCTATCCTGCATCTTTCGAAGGCATATCAGGAGACCTTTTTAGATTTTTCTACTTTCCAACAGTTTAATAGTTGTTATCTTGGACTGCGGTTATGACAAGAACAATATTTGTTCACTATCCCTATAATTAGCAAACCCATGATTGGCGTGCTAGGTTCTTAATAGCAGTTCATACGAATGGGGTACTGGTAGGTTTCACTTTAAATGTCAAATTTTAGAAACATACTGCTTTCACATTTCAGGTTCCAGCGTGGGCCAAAACAAAGCAACTGCCATAATTGAATTGAAGTCACTAGAAAGTAGAAGTGTCATCCATAGTATATATCTTAGGATGCTTTAGTGGTGGCTGAGTAGCTCACATTATCCGTTTTTGGTTTTCTTTTTTCTATATTCTATTCTCTTGCACCAACTCCTGTTATGTGATATTTAGTTCTGGGCGTAAACATTTTCTTTTTCAAGTTTGACATGATTCTCTGGCTAGGTCCAATCTGGCTGTATGCTCGTGGATAGATCTTGATGATCCAATTCATTCAGTTCTTAACTACAACCATGTGACCTAGCTCTGCATGCATCGTTGTTCTAACCTGTTACTTGACTCTGTATTCTATATCTAGGAACTAAGATATCCATGAGCAAGCCTGGATAATTGGATCCCCCTTCCTTCTTTTCTCTCTTTCTTGATCTTGTAGAGAGAACAAGTTTATTTTCAGGTTTTAAAGTTTGTTTCCAATGTACTTGGATCATTTGTCTTGATCCCACTTCTGCATACTCAATGGTGCAGTCTTGAGTGCCATGCAGAACGACAAGTATTGACAGGTTGATATCATTCTGAAGGTATGTTTTTTCTAGTAACTATTAATTGCAAGTATTTCTTGACAGACTTCAATTACTGAATTTATATCTTTTTATTTTTTAATTTCTGAGAAACCTTCTTGCTGGTTTATGTAATTTCAGTTCCTCCTGCATATTTCTCTTAGGACTGCTATATGCTCTTAAAAACACAGTGGTTGTTTTTTTGCTTAAATGCACAGTTTGCTTGTCTCGATTTTTGGTAGTTTCCATTGCCTTGTGGCATGCTCTGAAAACTTTATTACCTCTAATTTATCGTTGCTGTTAGAAATAATATCCGCTACTCAACGAAGATAAGCGCACAATGTTCATCCAATGATGAAAAAACCAACTTTTTTTTTGGGTGAGTAGAGTATCGTGTTTTTTAATTAGTGCATGATTAGCGGAACCTGTTTAAGTTTTTGGACGCACTGATGCTCAACGCTCAACAAGAGGTCCAATACACTGCTATGGAGGACGGCATTCTCCCTCCCATCCCTAAATGCTAAATCCCCACCCCACCCCTCCCAATATCTTAATCTAAGACCTTTTAATGATTATCTAAAGTCTTAATTGTTAGGACTTTTGTGCATCCTAATTTGACTTGTTATGTCTTTCGTATCTTTACATCATGTGCTAACCTTACCAGCTAACTTTTGGATAGGGCTTATCGACTTAAGTGGTAGACTATGATGAATCCACATAAGCATGGTGGACCTTGAGGTCTTTTTTGTGTGATGGAGTCAAGCTGGTTAGGTGCAGGTTGGTTCATCTTTATTTCATCTCCTTTGATGGAAATGGATCCAGGGACAGGGTTTTGAGAAACGGAATCTAAGAGCTTTCCCAAGAAAGATCATTATTGCTCGTTATGAGTTATCATTCTAGTGAAAATCTCACCTTAGGTCTTTAATCTTTACGAATTATCGACTCTCTAACATTAGCAGAATGTGGTAATTGATTAAAGAACAATTATCAAGAAATTTGCCACCCTGCCTGCAAACTGTACATGTTTGTCAGTACTTGTGTGCAAATTTTAGTCCTAGTTCAAAAGCTATTTTGATTATGAGAAAAACATAGGTAAAAACTAGCCTGATCAACTATTACATTACATGATTTGGCTGCACAGTGATCAAGTTTAGGTGTTACTTGATAATTGACACATGGTATGTTGTGGGCTATGGTACGTTGTGCGTTAGATTAAATTTTTTTTAATACAAGTATTTTTTAAGAGTAAGAAAAATCATTGACTTAATATCTGACTTAATATCTGACTGACTTTAATTTTAAAACCTCTTAACTTGAATCTTTATATAACTAGAGTTTTAAATTATATTGCATGAAAGTTAATAAAATATGGTCTGGTTAATTTGGTAAATATGGTTTGGTTTAATTTTTTTTTGTAAGATAGTATATATTTTTTAAAATATTGATATGTTAATATTTTTTTATAAGCATTAATATAATAATATTTTAGATCGAAATGGTTGCCTCTCTAAATTTATCACTTGACTGGTGAACTTAGTTTATGAAATTAGTTTATTTAATAAGTTTGATTTTTTAAAACAATATTTTATTTAATTACACTAGTAGAAACAAGCAAGTGCAATAAAGCAACCAAATAATATAAAAAAATGGGCTGTAAAAAAATTCTGTTAATACTTAAAAAATATTTTTATTATCTCACCTGAAGTTGAAATAGAACCCCTCGTTTTCTATATTTTTCAAACAAAAAAGTTAAAATTGTATTTTATGAAATCGAACGCCAATTCAATGTTATAATATTTTTTTTTGAGATTAAAATAAATATATAAAAATTAAATTAAAATAAATTATTAATCTCAAATTTTATTCAACACAACATTAAAAAAAAATGAAAAAATGAAAAGAAAAAAAACGATAATTGAAGGCAAAAAAAGAAGAAGATAAAGGACTAGAATTCACGCCATAGTTTTTTTTAAAAGAAAAGAGCAACCATTTTTCCTTTGTTCAATTTTCTTCTTATTTTCAATCTCTTGAATTTTATTTTTTTGTTGTGAAATGTAGTATCAAGATGATGTTAGGATATTTTTTAAAATTGTGATAACTATATAAAAAACAAAAAAAAAATTATTAATTTTAAATTCTATGTACATAATTTCAAATAATAAAATTAAAAGGAAAAGGATTAATATATACTAAATGACCTTTATATTTTCACTCTAATAATGAATAGTGAAATGTTCAATATTTTGATCTTTAAAACTTTTGAGGACCTTTTCTTTCTTTCAATTTCACATTCAAATATTAGAATTATTGAGTAGTGAATTCTATAATTAATTTATCTTGATTATTTTATATGAAGTTATTTTAATTTTATGATTCAAATCATTAAATTTGTTGGTTAGCTGTGCTGAATAGGATTATTTTTTATTTTTTATTTAATTATTTAATATTAAATTGTTTGAGAATTGAGTTTTTTATATTTTTTTTTATTTTCTATTGGGTTATCATAATTTCATTACCTGAATCGTGAGTTAGGCCAATTAACTTGAGTGTTTTTTGTTATTTTGTTATTTTTTTTAATTTTATTCTTTAATATTAAGTTAATTGAGAATTAAGTTTCATTATTTATTTCATTTTGTGTTATATGAGGTTATCCTAATCTCATGCATGGTCACTAATTTTGTTGGTTATTTTGAGTTGACTCCGATAGTTTTCTGTGTTTTTTTAATTAATCTTTTTAAATTTTATTTTTCAACATTGGATTGATTGAGAATTGAGTTTTATAATTTATTTTAATTTACTTTCTATGGGATTATTCTAATTTCATGACTCAGGCTTGACTGGTTAATTCAGGTTAACGTAACTTATTTTTTTGTTGATTTTTTTTAGAATTATTTTTTATAAAGTTATTAAGGTCTCATGATTTATATAGTAAATTTGATAGGTTAACTCAAGTTAATCTGAGATAGTTTAATATGCTTATGTTTCTATATTTTAAAAAAGATGTCTTGTCTCATAATTTATCTAGTAGATTTGATAGGTTAATTCAAGTTAATCTGAGTTAATTTAATATGTTGTTATTTTTATATTTTAAAAAAGATATCAGCTTAATTTTTTAAAATTAAATTATATTTTTATTAATCGCTTGAGTTAATTTTGAATTTACCAAGTTCACCGAGTGATATTAACACAATCTCCATATAATTTATTTTTTTAGACTAAAAAATTCATTAATAATACCTTAATATTATTTTATATCTAAAAACATTTTGATTCAAACCACATCATAATGCTGATATAGTTGGATGACTAAAGCAAATAAAGATAAGGGCGAAAAAAACTGTTCCAGTTTACCGTGTTTTCCAGTGTTATTTAATAATAATAATTAATTGTCAGAATGGATTGGGGAAATCTAGGTAATTGGGCCAATCACGATTCCATATAGCGGCCCAAGATTCACCACTAGGGCCCAACAAAATATGGACTTTGGATGAATACGAACTTCTCTTTTGATAGGTGTACAAGGCTCTTGCATGGCTCGGATGCCTTCATAGGAGATCCTAGTTGAATTGCTTCCAGCATGAATCGGATTCCACGCGCCTTCCTTCTTCGAATATATCGATGAGTTGAAAATTTCTGTTCATTTTCTTCTTTTTTTATGCGTTCTTAAGCCGGTTTTCACTTTCGTTTTCTTTCTGAAACAGAAACTCCCCCCCTCCAAAAAGAAAAATGAGAAAAGAAGCTAATGTCTACCTACTCTAAAATTTAAATGATACTTGGTTGGTGAAGGTCGGTATTCTCCTCAAAATATCATAATATTGCACTCATTAATCTAGCAAGACAGAGATGAGAGAGAGAGAGAGAGAGAGAGAGCAGGCCTCACTGTGTTAGCTCAAATCATTAGAACAAAAACAAAGTCTAATTAAAAGATATTCAGTTCGCGAATCTGGTTTTTAAGCATATAAAATCCCACCTGACCAAGGTCTGTTATAGGGTATACAGATACGTATTAAGGTTAACTGGATTTATAGATTAGGTTATGCATGCGTGTTGCTTATATTCAAATTAGGGCTGATTTTTCTGCACACTAGTTGCTATATCTATTGCTTTTTTTCTCTCTCTAATGTTTTTATTTATAAATTGCATTTGTACTTATCAAGAAAAAATAATATATATATATATATATGAGAGAGATCCTATATATGTACGCAAAATAAAATTAAAGTCAAATTAAGTATCATATGAACACTGGATTTCAAGGCTAGCTTTCCTTGCAAAACAGGAGGAACAGGGTAGGAATGCTTTCAAGGTCGAATCATATATTATTTAGCAACTAAACGAGCGAAAGAAGACAAGTGCACGGATGATGCTCAGGATAAAATACTTTTGTTGACAGTTTAAAATGATACAATGCAATATTCCGCATGCCATACGCTTATGATTTCTCATATCGAAGAGAATATGGCATTTGTATATCAACTGCTTGCATGATTAGGATGGATTACAGGGAGACGTAACTAGGGCTAGGAACCCAGAAGATGAGTCTCGTATAAATGTTTACATATGACTTTGTTTCTGGTGAACAAAACATGTCGATGATATTATTATATTGGCTCACCTGATTTTCCCTTTATGTGATTTTTTTTAAATTAAATGGAGATTATTGTTTTTCATTACTAGTGGGTTATTCTTTGTTTAATCCGTTGTATTTGAATTTACGTACTATGTTTACTATCTTATCTTGGGTTCAGAGGTTGGTTTTGCATAGATAGAGCGTTCTGCTGTTTTTTTTTTTTTTTTAATTTTGAAATGATTTTTTATTAGTTTCCCTTTAGTGTTCAAACATTTCCTGCTAATTCTTTGTTTCATAATT